TCCTGCTGCTTCCTGTTTGATGATATCAGAGATAATAAAAACAAATTAAACTGGCTTAGCTATTACATTATATTTACTTTGAAGTCATGAAACTTCGAACATGAACATACTCTTTGAAAGGTACTGCTTATGTACTAGTAATCCATTTGTTTTGTACTGCTTGCAGTAATTTGCTTTTGTTAGCCACTCTAACTAGTTTTTGAGGACATGATTCTGAGTTTCTTTGCTCTTCACAGCTAACCCTGAGGTATCTCTTGTTGGCCTTTAGTGTTGCCAGTATCTGTGCACAAGTTCCTCTTGCGTCTTCTTCAGTTGGCATGAAAGAAATCAAAAGTGATGGAGCATTCCTTACAGTATAAGTATTTCCAGAATACATCATTTAGCAGTGTTAACAGAGTTCCTGCAGGTTGTATTTGAGCATGTTATTTTTCTCATTAATTCAACCTTAACAACTTTGTTAGAACTCATATTTCTAAAGTTCATATATTACCTTAGTTTTTCTTGCTGATGCCCTGATTCCTTTTCATCTCCCCTATCTCTAAATTTTTGAGTACCATAGGATCAGTTCTTGGATCTCTCCTCGTTTCTGTCTGATTCTTTAAGACAGTGATCTTATCCAGACTCATGGCTTTTAAGTACCATCAGAATGCTGATGGATTCCAAATCTATCTCTGGTCACTTCTCCTCTGATCTACAGACCTCTTTGTCGTCTCCTAATAGGTATCCCTAACTTACTGTGTCTATAACTGTACTTCTGCTGGTCCCCCACAAACCAGCTTCTTCTTTAGCCTTCCCTATCTATGTTAATGCCATATCCATTCTTTTAATTGCTTGGCCAGAAACCTTGGTGCCACTCTTGGCTGTTCTCCGTCTCACACTCCACATCTTGTTTATCAGCAAATCCTGTTAGCTTTGTCTCCAAAATGTATCCCATTTGACCACTTATCACCTCTTCCTCTGCCACCATCTCTTGCGTGGCTTATTATGTATAGTGCTGTTCCTGTTTCTGCTTTCGCTTCCCTGTAGTGTATTCTTAGTACATAGCCAGAGTAACCCTGTTAAAACTTCTGTTAGTTCTTATAATTTTTCTCTTGAAAACCCTGCAACTGCTTCCCATCTCACTCAGAGAAAAGCTATAGGCCTTAACTAGTACCTACCAGAACCTACATAATCTGACCCCATTACCTTTCTACCTTCATTTCCTACTGATCCTTTCCTTGTTTACTCTGTTCCAGCCATATGGCCTCTTAACATGCCCTTCCTTTCACCTCAAAGCCATTGTACTTGCTGTTCACTGTGTAAAAAGCTCTTCCTGCTGATATCAGCAAAGCTAGCTCTCTCGCTTCCTTCAGGTTTTTACTCACTATAGCCTTCCCTGGCCAACTTATTTGTTTTCTGCATTGGAATGTAATCTTCATGAGGGTGGGGGGTTTGTCTTGTCTTGTACACTACAGAATCCTTAGCACCTAGAAATAGTACCTGGCACACAGTAGATACTTACATTTAAAAATGAATGAACAGATGAACGAGTGAATGATTCTGATTATTTTCTTTAAATTTATTGGGGTAACATTGGTTAATAACATAAATTTCATGTGTACAACTTTATAATACATCTCTATATTCCATTGTGTGCTCATAAATATGAAAGTAGTAAGTAAACATAGCTCCACTAAATGTAAAGTGGATAGAAAGGATTGGAAGAAGGCTATATGGAAGATAAGACGGATCTGGAAAGTAATTCTAAATTTCTGAAATGTAGAGCAATCCTATAAGTGTACAAATAACAGTACTGTTTTATTTAAACAGCTAGTTTAATATTTTCCATGGAGGAAACAAATATTAGCTGGTATCATTAGTAGGAAACAAATTTGGGAATTAGCTGCAGTGTGAACCAGGAGGTAAAGTTTTACTCTGGATTAAAAATTGTGGACAGATATTCTAGATATCACTGAGTCATTATGTAATTTAAGAAGGGTAATGATATACCTATTGATTTGCCAGGAGCACTCTCAGCTTAACTCTTTTGTTATTATAGGGTGGGTTTTATTCTCTAAAGGGTCTTACTCTGGATGATAAGTTATAAAGATACTCTAAAATTAATGTACTTATTTCTGGTTAGTGATTGTAGCACATAATGAAAATCCATGCATGATAAATCATCTATAAATGCTATTGGACTATTTGACATTGAGTATATTTTAGAACTTGACTTTGTTAGGTTTAGGGCTATCAGGGTCTCAAGCATTTTGAAGTCACTCTTGAATAGTGAAAATAGTTGAGCAGTGTAAAAGCTGGATCACATTTAGTATTTTTTTAAAAATATATATTTTATTGATTTTTTACAGAGAAGAAGAGAGAGGGAGAGGGATAGAGAGAAACATCGATGAGAGAGAAACATCGATCAGCTGCCTCCTGCACACCTCCTACTGGGGATGTGCCCACAACCAAGGTACATGCCCTTGACTGGAATCGAACCTGGGACCCGTCAGTCCACAGGCTGACGCTCTATCCACTGAGCCAAACCGATTAGGGCACATTTAGCATTTTTAGCACCACAGACTTCATTGAGAATTTGATGAAACATGTGAATCCATTTCCCAGAAAAATGCATATTCTAAATTTTATAAATAATTTCAAAAAGTTTATGATTTCCCAAACCCCTGCTGCATTGAGTGAATAACTTTTGGGGATTCTGTTGCATTAGTACTGTGCCAATATAAGTACATGTAGAAATGGTTACATAAATGATTTGCTATACGTATTTTTTTTATTTAATTTTTTTCTATTATAGTTGACATTCAATATTATATTAGCTTCAGGTGTATAGCATAGTGATTTATATAACTTACAAAATAATCCCTCCTAATAAGTGTTGTAGTACCTACCTGGCACCATGCATAATTATTACAGTATTATTGACTGTATTCCCTATGCTATACTTTACATCCCTGTTACTATTTTGTAACTCTCAGTTTGTACTTCTTAATCCCTTCACCTTTTTCACTCAGCTCCCCAACTTTCCTCTCATTTGTTCTCTGTGAGTGTATTTCTATTTTGTTTATTTTGTTTTTTTAAATTCCACATATATATAAGTGGAATCGTACGATATTTGTCTTTCTCTGGCTGGCTTATTTCACTTAGCATAATACCCTCTAGGTTCATCCATGTTGTCACAGATAAGGTGTATGTACTATTCTGTAACTTAATGTTCTTTGTTAGTATATATAGATGTACTTACTTCTTTTCAAATTAATTTATAAATTTCACAAATTTTTAATTTTTTAAAATAGTTTATTGAATTTTAGAGAGAGAGGAAGGGAGAGAGAGAGAGAAACATCAATGAGAAAGTGCAACATTGATAGATGGGCAGCCACCTGCACGCCCCCTACTGGGGATCAAGCCCACAACCCATGTATGTGTCCTGTCCAGGAATCAAATTGGCAGCCTTTCAGTACACACTGGCCAAGGCTATATTTCACAAATAGTTAAAAAAAGTCAACATCAGAAAAAATGTATAGGAAAGTTGCTTATATGAAATCTTAAAATAAGCAAAAAATGCTTTTGATATCTTTTTTGTTGTTGTTAATCCTCACCCAAGGATATTTTTTCCATTGATTCTAGAGAGAGTGGAAGGGAGGGAGGAGAGGGAGAGAGAGAGAGAGGAGAGAGAGAGAGAAAGAGGGGGAGAGAGAGAGAATGAGAGAGAGAGAGAGAGAAACATAGATTTGAAAGAGACACGAGTCACATCCTGACTGGGGATCGAACCTGCAACCCAGGTACATGGCCTTGACTGGTAATCGAATCTGTGACCCTTTGTTCTGCAGGCTGACACTGTAACCACTGAGTAAAGCAGGCCAGAGCTGCTTTTGATATCTTAATCATCACAACTAAAGAGCATAAGATACATGTATCATCATTTATGGTATAGAAATCCTTACATTGTATTTTTTTCATATTAGATTTAAAAAGTTAAAAAAACAACCTTACTCAGATCAACTTGCCAAAATCTGGCTTTAGGGGAATTTTTTTGAAGATAACTCATCAACAAAAACCACATATACTCTGCAGAAATTTTCTTAATAGAGAAAATAAGGTAATGCAGAGAAGCAAAAAGAATTCTTCATGGTGAAATTACTCAAAGATGATCACTGCTAACAATGCATTTTATTTTACTTTGTATCTATACATAAGTTGTGTTAGTTTGCTTTATATGGTTTTATTTATACTGTAATTTAAATTTGCATCCTGTATCTCCCCCTGCCCCAATTAAAATTTTAACTACTTTTCTATATTGCTTTAGGATAGATTTCCAGAAGAGGAATTACTAGATCAAAAGTTATCACTGTTTAAAAATGAAAAAATATATATATTGCTAATACTGCTTTTCAAAAATATTTTACCAGTTAATACTTCAATCAGTCAGGTCTAATATTGCTTATTTCACCACTCCAGTGCTTAGATTGGGCAGTATGAATTTAAAAATATTTGTAATTGCAAACAATAAAAGTTTCCTCGCTGTTTTAATTTTCATTTCTTCCATATTTTGTGATATTGCACATTTTTCCATAAATGGATTACTAACTCTATCCTAGTGTATATTAAAACATACTTTTGCAGCTTGAGCCTTCCATTTAGAAGAAAAAATCCCTTTTCAAATAAAACTTTAATAGAGCATGTTGACAATGTGCTTTCTTTATTATAAAGATAATTTTTAGTTAATTATTAGGTTTTAACAATCATCCAGGTTGCCATATTGAAGTTATCGTCAAGATCTGAATGAAGATTTTCCAAAGTGTTTAATTAATAGAAAACAATTTATACTCTGGGGAAATGTGGCTTATTAAGAACTAAATGAGATATAGCTAACAGCATATGTATATAGTTTGATTTCATTGAGTACTAATTAATAGATGGCAAAATAATAATAGAAATTTGATATTTCTGTCAGAAACACTTTTACTAAAATAAATTATCTTAAATATTTTTTTCTTTTCAAGGTATCATACACGTCGTAGGAAACTGAATCCTCCAAAAGACAGATGATATTGAGGTTTTCAGTAAAATGCTGTCCTTTTCTCATTTGCCATTTGAGAAAATGCAATCAGATATATTCACTACTATGTTATATAGTAAAATGATAATAAAATGTCTTTTCATCCATTAGAATGTGTATTTCTTTATATATATTAATTCTGGATTTGACCTTCTTATTTAGAGAAACCTACTTTATTTTCCTTTGAGATTTTAGTCTTCTATTTATTTTTATGTGACTAGTATGATGAAATATTCTACATTATCAGCCACATATTGTTAGTAGAGTAAATATTAAAAATGTGCATGGTTTCCTTCTGAAGATTTTAAAATTGGCTTTAAAATGAAACTCAGAAAGTCTACTCAGAAAACATTTTATGTTTGGGAGCGAGGGGGTTGGCATCTAGGATATAATTAAATTAGTTACACTTAAATCAGTTACTACTATCTACTAGGTCCTTTACATACATCATTATTAAATTCTCACAATAATCCTCTGAAGAAAGAGCATCATCCTCATTTTATAGATAACGGACACTAAGTGACCTACCTACCTAGCAAGTGGAAGAACCAGGATCCAAACTGGTCAGTCTCCAAAGCTGTTTTACAGTGCATCATAACAACAAAGGGTGTTTTCTTTCACCCAGGAATGTACTTTACTATAAAGACTATATTATATAGATTGCTTGAAATTTTTTTTAGCTGTTTTAAATTTATGCTAGCTTTGGAACACATGCAATCAATATCACTAACCTAGTGTTATGAGAATGTTAATAGTATATCCTGTTTTTTGTCACTACTGGCTTATACAAGGGTGGGCAAAAGTAGGTTTATAGTTGTTCATATGGAAAGTAACACAATAATCTATGCTAATAATAGAGGAATAGGCAAATTAGCTGGGACACTGTAACATTATGACCATACAGCAGGGACTTGAGGCTGCATGGCACCTGGCCGGAGCAAGGGATCTCAGGCCGCGTCCCCACCCTGCGGGGCTTTACGGTGGACCTCAGGCCGCGCCCCTCGCCTGGTGCCCGGCGGGGCTTGACGGGGATCTCAGACTGCGCCCCGTGCCCTTGTGCCATTCCAGGAGACTTCAGGCTGTGCCCTCTGCCCCAGCGCCAGGCCGGGAGACCTCAGGCTGCACCCTCCTGCCCGGCAGGGCTTGACGGGGGACCAGGCGCGCACCCTCTCACCCGGCACCCCAGGGGGGCTTAACGGGGACATCAGTCGCGCTCCTGCTGGCGGGGCTTGACGGGGGACCTCAAGGCTGCGCCCCCCAGCACCAGGCTGGAGAACCTGAGGCTGTGCGCCCCCCACCCAGAGGGGCTTGATGGGGGTGGGGCTGGCCGGGTCTTGGTCTCACCCAATGGGGGTGGGACCAGCTGGGTCTGGGTCTCCTGTTTTCGAAGCACGTGCAGGTGGTGGGCGGGGACTTGACGAACCTTTTGAGCTCGGTGTGTCAGCATTTTGAAAAACCCTAACTTAACTCTGGTGCCGTGTCACATATAGAAATTTTTTGATATTTGCAACCATAGTAAAACAAAGACTTATATTTTTGATATTTATTTTATATATTTAAATGCTATGTAACAAAGAAAAATCAGCCAAAAAAATGAGTTCGAGTGTCACCTCTGACACACATGTCATAGGTTCGCCATCACTGCTCTAGGTCCTGCGGTGTGCCCCAGACTCTGACAGGAGGAAGATTTTCATATACATTTTACTAATTTTCTTTCATCTCTGACACTTCTATTATAGAGAAAGGGCAAATAGCAATATTAAAATATTTCCTCTAATTCCCTTTTAATGTTCACAAATTTCGTGCACCGGGCCACTAGTCTATAGATATAAAAAGCCAGTGACTGGAATGCCATAAGACTAGAACGATCGGTCGCTATGACACCAGTGCAGCCAGCAAACTGACCTGATTGGGGGGCGGAGCCAGCAGCCAACCCCCACGGCCCTTCCCCCAGGCCAGCTCTACCCCATTGCCCACAGCCCCTCCCCACGGCCGGTTCCCCCCCCCCCCCCCAAATAAAAAATCCCTCCGGCCCAATTTTGCTAGGAACAAACCGATGCTGGAAAATAAGAACAATAAGAAAAAA